ATCTCCGACCGAGACCCTAAGTTCACCAGTAAATTCTGGAAAGCACTGATGTCTCTGCTCGGGACCAAAACTCGCCATGTCATCCGCTTACCATCCGCAGACAGACGGACAGACCGAGCGCCTCAACCAGATTGTCGAGCAAACTCCTCCGAGCAGCCTGCAAGGACGAGATCTCCAAATGGGACCTGCACCTGCCTGTTCCAGAGTTTGCTTACAACAACGCTACGCATGCCGCTACTAGACAGACGCTGTTCTTCCTCTGCTACGGATGCCACCCTCTCACACCACAGAAACTGACAACATCCACCACAGTTCAACATGCACATGATTTCATTACAACCATGCATCAGCTTTGGGATCGAACCCTTAAGCGCCTTCTCGACATTCAGCAACAACAGAAGCGCCAGGCCGATTGCCACCGCACAGACCACACCATCACCGTGCGAGATCAAGTCCTACTCGACACGCGCAATCTTAACATCAGCCATCTCCCATCCAAACTGCGACCTCGCTTCTGCGGGCCCTTTCTCGTTGAAGCACACGTCACTCCTGTTACCTTCCGCTTACGCCTGCCAGCTGCTTGGAAGATTCACAATGCCTTCCATGTCCAACTTTTGAAGCCCTATCGGGATCCGAACATGATCTTCGTCGGATGCCAACCACCGCCGCCGCCGCCCGTCCTCGTCCAGAATGAACCCAAGTACGAGGTCGAGTCCGTGCTTGCACACCGCCGTCATCGGAATGGCACCGTGGAGCTTCTCATTCGTTGGAAGGGTTATGATCCTTCTGAGGACAGCTGGGTCTCTGAGTCCAACATGGGTAATGCCCGTCGTCCTCTGCATTACTACCTTGTCAAGCAGGGTGTTACTGTTAGAAATAGACTGCAAATACCACTTTTGTATTTGTACTTTTATATCCTAGTTTAGGTTATGAATGTTCTAGTGGGTTGGGGTGTACTCACAAATCCCAACCTCACCCAATTCTGATCCCCCCAATCTCCAATTACCCAATTGGAGATTCCGGAGATCCCAATGGGGATTCCCTCCAATTCTCCCTTCATCCATTCACTCTCACCTTGCCATGTACTTATAGAGCCTTGGGATCCTTGCCTAATCAATCATTTCAACTCTATTTCTTACAGTTACTTCTACCACCCAGCTTTGAGGGGGGGAAGTGTGAGAGTACGACCCCGTTACATTTTTTGTTCCTTTCCCTATTTCCTTTCCATTCCATTTCTCTTTTTATATCATCTCATTTGGTTTCCTATTCTCCATTTTCCATTATTTTTTGGTTTATCTTGTTATTATCATTATATCACCGACCAGGCTTGGGATGTACTGGTGCGCTATATCTAGCTTAATCCTGCCGTTATCCCTTAAAGCCAATAGCCTCGCGTGGCTATACACTGGGTGATTCTGTTTTCTAGAAGGGTATATTCCCTTGGGATAAGATAAACCTGGTTACCTGATGTAATTTGGAAGTATAAAAGCGCCTTGTACTGATCGATAGTGCAACCTTTCCTCGACACATTCGATCCTGTGACAACAAGCGCCTCCTCGACATTCAGCAGCAACAGAAGCGCCAGGCCGATCGCCATTGCAACGATCACACCATTACCATGGGAGACCAGGTGCTCCTCGACACCCGCAACCTTGACATTAGCCATCTCCCATCTAAACTTTAACCTCGCTTCTGCGGGCCTTTCCTCGTTGAAGCACAGGTTACTCGAGTTACCTTCCGCTTACGCCTGCCAGCTACCTGGAAGATTCACAACAACTTCCATGTTCAACTTCTGAAGCCCTATCGGGATCCAAACACGACCTTCGTCGGACGCCAACCGCTGCCGTCGCGCCCGTCCTCGTCCAGAATGAACCCGAGTACGAGGTCGAGTCCGTGCTTGCACACCGCTGTCGTCGGAATGGCACCGTGGAGCTTCTTATTCGTTGGAAGGGTTATGATCCTTCTGAGGACAGCTGGGTACCTGAGACCGACATGGGTAACGCCCGTCGTCCTCTGCATGACTACCTTGTCAAGCACGGTGTTACTTCTATCACCCAGCTTTGAGGGGGGGAAGTGTGAGAGTACGACCCCGTTACACCACTTGGCCCTTCCTATTTCATTCCTCTTGTTTTCCCATCTCATTTGGTTTCCTATTCTCCATTTTCCATTATCCTTTGGTTTATCCTGCTATTATAATTATATCACCGACCAGGCTCGGGATGTACTGGCGTGCTATATCTAGCGTAATCCTGCCGTAATCCCTTAAAGCCAATAGCCTCGCGTGGCTATACGCAGGGTGATTCTATATTCTAGAAGGGTCTATTCCCTTGGATAGGATAAACCTGGTTACCTGATGTACTCTGGAAGTATAAAAGCACCTTGTACCTATCGATAGTGCAATCTTTCCTCGACACATTCGATACTGTGACACCTGCACTGACCTAGGAGAGCTGCGGCGCTACCTTGGCCTGCAGATCTCCAAGGACAGAGCAGCGCGCACCATCACTCTCACACAGTGACACTTGGTGCGCCCGGTCCTTTAGAGGTTCGGCCTTCAGTTCTCCTCCGCACAGCCCACACCTCTGCCAGTAGACCACATGCTCTCTGCTCCGGTTCCTAAGGAGTTAGCAGAGCCCAGTGGTCCATACGCAGAGTTGGTGGGTTGCCTCATGTACTTGAGGGCTACTCCTTTAGCCTTGGTTCGGGTGCCATCTCGTGGAGGTCCACTCGCTCCTCTTCTACTTCCCAGTCCAGCTGTGAGGCTGAGATCTACGCAGTGCCATGGCGGCACAGGAGTTCCGCTGGCTGACCTTCTTGCTTACCGACTTAGGTGAGCGGCCTAGCTCTGCCCTGGTTCTGTACGCTGACAACAGGGCCATGATCCTCCTGTGTCAGGAGCCTCGACTTGAGGGCAGAGCGAAGCACATCCATCTGCGGTACTTCCTCCTGCGCGAGCTACAGCATCGTCGCTAGGCTCGCATAGTACACTTGGCCTCCGGTGCCAACACAACTGATATCTTTACTAAGGCGTTGTTTGGAGCTTGGTCTAGTTCCTTTAGATTCTCACTTCCTAGGACCTTGATTGTGTACTCCTCTTTATCTATACCTTTCAGACTGGCCTTGTGGCTTCTCTTCCAGTGGCCGGACTAGTAGTGTCGCCCTTGTTTGCTCCTGTCTTGTTTGTACTCTTGCTGACTAGTCTTCGGAACCCTGTCTCAGCGGTTGGACTAGTAGTGCCACCCTGAGCTGCGTGTTTCTTGCTCAGCACTACCCCTTGTCTAGCCTAGGGGGTGTGTCAACTTATACATATGTTTGTATATATAAGTTATAGACTAGATAGGTGTGTGTTCTTAGAGGGTACAACACCAACCCTATATCTCCCTTGTTCTCCCTTAATCTATTCATTATTGGATTCTAATAGACAATATGTGCGTATAGTATCGCGACTATCCGCGTGACATGACTAGTGACTATGTGTGTAACTATGAGTGGCGTGGCCCTTCGTGAGACTATACGCGCGAACCTACTGTCCACGCGTTGAGTCGTTACTGTTGTCGTCATCACGCGCGTCCTTCCATAGGAGGTATCACGCTGATAGCATTTTCTAAACGGTAACTCTATCGAGTATACTTCAACAGACTGATTTCAGCTCAAAAAGTGAAATCATCTGACACTGCTATTCCTCTTCTCCCCTGCCTTCCCCCCGCCTTCTCCCTGTTTTCCCCCAGCTGGCCCTTGCGGAGAATCCGCACGGTGGGGGAAACAAACCACCTATCTACTTCCCCGTGCATAGGCTCAGCCGGTGGGGCAGAAGGGGATAGATGGGCGGAATCCAAGGTGGGGGGAAAGATGGGGGGGTAGTAAAATGTATAGAATATTGGGAAGATTGGAAGTGGGTGAGGGTAACCAAGGGGAGGAGAGCGGAAGGAGAGGAGGAAGAGGGGGGAGGGGAAGGGGAGAGGGAGGAGAGGTGCGCAAAGGAGTAGGGAGGAAGAGGAGTGGGAAGCAGAGGTGGAGCAGGGTGGTGGAGGTGCCAGTGGCTGTGTTTACTCGGAACGAGTATGGTACGAGAAGGCCCACGGAGGCACAATAGCGGCACCAAGGAGGCAGCAAGAGCGAGCGAAGACGGATGAAAAATAGAGAAGATCCGGTGGCAGCAGTAGCAAAAGAAAGCCGCAGAATATTCTGAAGTGTCTGCAAAAGATTCGCTGTGAGTTGGAGAGTTCCCTAACCCTAGTTTCTCATCCGGTGTCCTCTTTGTTCCTCACCCATAGCCATCAGCATTCGCATGTATTCGCAAGCGTATTGAAGCACCAATATTCACAAACTTATAAACACAACCACCTGTACTCGGATACATATAGTTGCATCCACCGATGCATAGTCGCACCTACTTTTTATGAGCTACCGCTCAAAATTCGCTCATTGCACGGTACACCACCCTTCACCAAAACATTCCCCTGAACTCTCCCTACATCCATCCTGTACACCTTCTTTGTCAACAAATATACATTTATATGTTAGCTAGGTTATATTTGTTATATCCTAGCTAAGTCAGTACTTAGAAGGCACAACACCCACTCTTGTACTCTCTCGTCATTTCCCCTTATCACTTATCATGCCCTACTTTCACATTATCGCAATTGGCTTGCCTTATTCTCCCATTCCTATTCATATCAGCGTGGCCTCCCTTGTCCTGCTCGCCTTATATAGGGCCATGTGCAGAAAATTCTTACTCTTCTCCCTCCAAGAGGCTATATTTTCTTTCTTTTTTTGTGCTTCCACATCCATTATAGCTCGTTGTGATTGTTGGTTGTAAACAAATACTTATACACGCTTCACACTTTTATCCAAACGCGTATCCAGCCTCGAAGCGGCTTCAGACACGAGTGGTCGGCCGGCGCTCTGCGACAGCAACACGATGTAACCCGTCGTAAGCGACACAGCAACAACACAGGCCAGGGCTGGCTGGGATAAGGGGATTTCAGCAAGTTACCAACGGCTTTATGAGCCCAGCCAATTAGAGAATGGAGCGATGTGGTGATGCCGACTTAGTCGGCCATGGAACGACAAATGTTGCAGAGAGGACCGAGCAGCAGCAGCGCTCCGTCTTGGCAGGCTGCGACTGCTGTACAGGGCGAAACTGGAGGATAGCTGTGGAACAGCATGACTTGAGGGCTTGGTGCTGAGGGTCTTTCTGGAGGACCCTCTCAAGACTACCGCAAGGTGAGAGGGCCCCAGGGGAAGCCGGCAAGCTCTCAGCATCATGCTGAGTACTTCCCGCGCGACGCGACTCGATGCAGGATTCTTTCTTGCAAGAGAGCCTTTGGAGGGTTAGCGCAGCCACAGCTTATGAGTATAAGACTGCTTTATATGTTCCCAAGAATCAAGTTTCAAGGATCGCAGAGTCGGGTTTGTCTTGGGAAATCATCTTCGTGTCTCGTAGAAAAGAAAAGAAAACCATCCGAAGCGAAAAACTTTCAGTGTATGCAAGGATGGATCGCTATTCTCATATTTCTCGAGTCCCTTTCCTCTCTCTCAGGCTGCTGCTACTGCTGCTGTCGCTCGCCGCGTGGCACCAGGCTGCAGCTGCAGCTCCCACGAACGAGCAGATGCAGGTGGAGGTCTCTAATCTCCAGCTCGCTGCTGCAGCCAGGCCACGCTACTCCGTCATCGCTAGGTTCCTGGAAAGGGCGAGTAAGCAACTTGTGCTGAAAACGTACTGTTCACGATTTGGCGTGACCTGGTGGGGCCATGTGACTTGAGGGCGAGTAAGGACCTTGACGGTACCTTACATCATGAATCATGATGAGCAAGGAATGTGACTTGACGACCTGATGTGAGCATGTCATGTCATGAAGTTGCCTTGCATGGCGTGCTCTTCAGTTGTGCTTTTCTCCATGTTGTCCTCTGTTCGTTCCCCTCGTCATATCCCTGCCCGGTCCCTTCTGCGTGTTCCTCCCCTTTCCTCCAGTTGAGAATCCCGATTCCAACTACACCCTACTCCAGAACACGACCATATTACTTCCTTCCAATCAGGCGTTGATCGACACGCTGCTGCGAGCTTGGGATAATGGCACAGAGTGGTTGCGCACAGTGTCTTACAACATCATCAATGGCCTGTACACGCTTAGGGGACTGCGACAACTGCCTCGAAATGCGCAGATTCCAACATTGTTGGAAGGTGCAAACCTCACCAAATTCAACCCCAGCTTCAGTGTGGCACTTGGCCAGCCAGGAACGAAGCTGTATACTTGGGCAGTGGTGAAGATTCCCAATCTGTACAATGGGGTGTTTCTCAAAGCACATGGCGTGGACAGGTGGGTTGTGCCACCGGTGGCATAGCTCTTGCTTTGCAAGTGGGGCCATCTTTTGAAGCTGGGTTGGGATGGGACAGCTTGAGAGAAGGCCTTTTGCTATGTGTATGGGCACATGTTTTTTGGTTACAGCATGGATGCTGCTGATGTAGTGTAGTGCCCTGTAGTGTAACAGCTAGGGGAATGAGGCGGACCTGAAGTGTTTTCTCGTGAATTTGAGTTTTTGTTGTGTTCTCTGCATTATACCGTCCGTACCGTAGTATAATCTGGTTGTGCAATGGGCTGAGTTATTCCGAATAGCTCATACGGTAGCTTTCTAGGGCCTCAGATTGCAGGCTTTTTACCCTGATTCAGGGTACAATCAGGGTTTGTTTTCGGGGTGACCCTGATGAGATGGGGTTTTTTTGTAACACGGGCCTAAAATTTCAGCGCTTTTTTAGAAGTGAACTCTGATCTATCAGCGTGACTTCTGTAGTGAGGCCTGTTTTTCCAGCGTCGTATTGGGGACCGACCCTGACACTCCGGGTAATAGCGGATTCCGAGCCCCAAACCCCCCACCCGTTATTTCTGAATTTCCCCCCCACCCTCCCTGTCAATCATGCCAACTTGACACAGCAGGGGCTGATTTCGGCTAGAGCATGTTCCTACAAGCCTCTTCCCAAGCAAGCTCTGTCAGAAACCCAGTCACTAACCACTGGGTTAAAAGGGCTTATTAATAGCGGGCAGTGCGTGTCAAACATGTGTATCTCCTATGTTTGCATAGACTATATAGGGCCACCTCGTAGAGGGTACAACACTTAGGTATATTCACCTGTACTCTCTCTCTACTCAACTATTCACTCCTCACTTTGATATGGTATCACGCGTAGGTTAGGATCCCCCACCTACCGCTTCCGCCCCTACCCTAGCTAGGCCCCGTCGCGCCCCTCCTAGCCCAGTTGCGCCCCTCCTGGGCCCTGCCGCGCCTCCTAGCCCAGTAGCGCCCCTCCTGGGCCCCGTCGCGCCTCCTAGCCCAGTCGCGCCCCTACTGGGCCCTGCCGCGCCTCCTAGCTCAGTCGCGCCCCTCCTGGGCCCCGTCGTGCCTCCTAGCCCAGTCGCGCCCCTCCTGGGCCGTGCCGCGCCTCCTAGCCCCGTCGTGCCCCTCCTGGGCCCCGTCGTGCCTCCTAGCCCAGTCGCGCCCCTCCTGGGCCCCGTCGCGCCTCCTAGCCCAGTCGCGCCCCTCCTGGGCCCCGTCGCGCCTCCTAGCCAAGTCGCGCCCCTCCTGGGCCCTGCCGCGCCTCCTAGCCCATTCGCACCCCTCCTGGGCCCCGTCGCGTCCCCCCTAGCCCCGTCGCGCCCCTTCTGGGCCCCGTCACGCCTTTTAGCCCCGTCGCGCCCCGCCTGGCCCCGTCGCGACTGCCTGGCCCCGTCGCGACCGCCTGGCCCCGTCGCGCCCTGCCTAGCCCCGTCGCGCCCCTCCTGGGCCTCGTCGCGCCCTGCCCGGCCCCGCCGCGCTTGCTTGGCCCCGCCGCGCCTGCCTGGCGCCCGTCCCAGCCGGCTCTGCGTCCGCCCTCACGCCCTCCGCGCCCGTCTGCTCGGCCCCTGCGCCCGTCTCAGCCGGCCCCGTGCCCGCCCCGTCGGCCTGGTGCCCATTGCTTCTGGCCCCCGCGCCCGTCCTGCCCCGAGCTGTGTGCGGCCCGCCCGTCGTCCCTGCCCCGGCCCTGCATCCTCCCTAGTACTGTTCCTCATCACCTGCACCGCACTGCACCGCCCTTCACACCCCTGCACCGCACTGCACTGCACGGTTCTGCCCTGCACCGCGCTGCACCGCACTGCACCGCCCTATACCGCACTGCACCGCACTGTACCGCGCTGCACCGCACTGCACCGCACTGCACCGCCTTGCACTGCACTGCACCGCCTTGCACCGCACTGCACCGCGCTGCATAGTCCTGCACTGCTCATGATGACGGCGGAGCTTCGCTTCGACGCTGAAGGCCAGCCACTGGAGTTCGAGGCGTGGCTCGCCGACCTCCGTCGCCACCTCACTGGTCATCGGCAGGATGGCCACCCGCTTTCCGCACACCTTGACGGTACGCTCCCCTGCCCAGACCCGCCTGCTGTTCTGCCCGCTGATCCCACACCCGCTGAGCGCGAGTCTACTGCAGCCACTACACTTGCGCGCTCTGTCTGGCTTTCCCGAGACGCTGTCGCTCAGCTTGCCATTAGCAATGCCCTTCCCCCGTCTGAGCGCCCTCGCTTTAGGTCAATCACTACCGCCCAGACTTACTTAGATGCTTCATCAAGCGCTATTCCACCCCTCCTGCTGCCTCAGTGGGTCGCCTGATCCTCCCGATGCTCTTTCCCGACCTTGCGTCTTTCCCCACTGTCTCTGACCTAGCTGCCCACCTGCGCTCGATAGATGAGACCTGGCGCGCTGCCTGCACTGACACACAGCTTAGAGCCCACCAGCCGCCTATTACCTCTACCCTCTACCTGCTTGCCACCCGCCTCCCTAACCGCCTTGCCGCCGCCCGCGACCGCTTCCTTAGCATCCACCCCGGTGAGCTCACCCTCCCCGACTTTGTAGACACCCTGACTGTTATCGAGACCCGCCACCGCTCAATCGCCCAGGCGAGCGGTACCGTACCGGTCCCTATCTTTCAGGGTTGTGCCCCCGCTCAGTGTACCTTCTCCGACGGTTCTGTCGCTGTGGCTGAGACTGCTGCTGCAGCGCAGCTTTGTTCGGGGAAGGGCCGCCGCCCCAAGGCTGGGCGCGGCGGAGGAGGCAGGGGTGCAGGAATGGGTGGTGGTGGAGTCGGGTCGTCTGGTACTGGAGCGGACGAGGGGACCCTACCTGGTCCAGCGGAGCCGCCGCCTCTGCAGTCGCAGCAGCAGCAGCAGCAGCAGCCGCACCAGCCGCAGTAGTCGCAGCAGCCGCAGCCTCCGCAGCAGCCGCAGCAGTCCCCGCAGACGAGGCAGACGAGTGTCCTCCCACCCGGGTGGCCCGGCACTGGAGGTGGTCGGGCGCGTGGTGGTGTGTCGAGTGGTGGTTCGGGAGGCGTGCGTTGTCAGTACCAGATCCAGACCGGTCCTCGCCGCGGCTTCGTTTGCGGTAAGATCGGTCATTCCACTCCCCGCTGTTTTCGTCGCTTGGACGACCTGTTTCGTCAGCGCTTCGGCCCTTTGCCAGACCTCCCAGACTGGCACAGTTTGCTTAGTCGTAGGATTCAGATTTTTCACATGGACATGGATGCCATTATTTCTGCTCTGCATGTGATGTATGCTGATGACTCTAGTGCGCTCCCCACTTACTACTCCCTGTTGTCTAGTGTAGGTGTGCCTACCTTAGCCTCCCCTGCTGCGTCAGGCGTAGGATCCCCTGCTTTGTTTAGCCTTGGTGCTTCTACCGTCGCCTCGTCGCCGGACGCCACTGCATCGCTTTCCTTCACCTTGGACTCTGGTGCTTCCCGGTGCTTCTTCCGCGACTCTACTACACTGACGCCGCTTCCTGCTCCTGCTGCCGTTTCTCTTGCTGACTCCTCCGGCGGTCCGGTAGTCGCCCGCAGTTCCACCACCCTTCCCTGTCCGGCGGTTCCCTCGGGCTCCCTAACAGGTTTGCATATCCCCTCGTTCTCCAGGAACCTAGTTGGTGTCGGCTGCCTCCAAGACCTTGGCATCACCACTATGTTCCCTGGTCACGAGCGGTATGCTTTCTGTACCGAGGCCGCCACTGGTGCCCCCCTGTCCACATTCCCCCGGGACCCGGTGTCCGGCCTGTTCACGCTGGACACCGTGACCCCCCCGGCTGGGGCACCCCCTCAGGTGGCTGCGTCTACCCAGGTTGCCGCTGCCTGCTTTTGTCGGTCCCTCACTCACCCGACTCTCCTTTGGCACCACCGCCTAGGTCACCCAGTGATCCCGCGTCTGCATCACATGTCCTAGCACGGTCTCGTCCTTGGTCTCCCAAATTCTCTCCCCGCTTTTCCCTCCTCCCCTGCCCCACCTTGCACGCCTTGCATCGAGGGTCGGCTTCGCCATTCCCCTCACTCCTCCTCGTTTCCCCCCACCACCGCGCCGCTGCAGACCCTGCACATGGACGTCTGGGGCCCCGCCCCCGTCCATGGGCCGCGTCGAGAGCGCTACTTCCTTGTGCTTGTCGACGACTTCACTCGCTACACCTCGGTCTTTCCCCTGGAGCGGAAGGCCGACGTGCCTGACGCTCTCATCCCCTGGCTTGTCTCTGCCCGTGTCCATCGAGGTCTCCCTGTCTTGCGCCTTCACTCCGACCGTGGTGGCGAGTTTGCCTCAGGTGTCCTTGGTCGCTTTTGTCGTGCGGAGGGCATCACCCAGACGTTCACCCTACCGGACTCCCCACAGCAGAATGGGGTCGCTGAGCAACGCATCGGTTTGGCCATGGAGGTGGCTCGCACCTCCATGATCCATGCCGGTGCACCCCATTTTCTGTGGCCGTTCGCTGTGCGCTACGCTTCTCACCAGCTTAACCTGTGGCCGCACCCCCAGCAGCCGCAGGTTTCGCCGACCTGTCTTTGGACAGGGTCTCCTGGTGACGCGTCTGCGTTCCACGTCTGGGGCTGCCTTGCTCACGTCCGTGCCTCCGGCACGGACAAGCTCACAGCCCGCACCCTTCCCTGCGTCTTCCTCGGTTTTCCTCTTGACGCGTCTGACAGGCACTTCTACCACCCGCCGTCTCACCACTTCTTTCACTCTCGCGACGTCACCTTTGACGAGTCCGTCTCCTGCTACCGTCGCTTTCTCCACTGCGGTCCCCCAGTTACCCCCCCCTTGTTCCTGGTCCCTCCTTCCCCGGTAGTCCCTGCTCCCCCCCCTCCTCCTCCTCGTCCTGCCCCCTCTGGTGTGTCCCACGTCACCCCTCTTCCGTCGGTGGTCCGGGTTGAGGAGTCTTCGGACTCTGGTGGTCCTGCGGCGCAGTCCTTGCCGGCTGCCCCTCCCCAGGCGTCCCCTCTTCCATCGCCTCTGCCGCCGCTGTCGCCCCTACTGTCGCAGCCGTTGTCCCCTCCTCCGCCACCGCCGCAGCCGTCGTTGTCGCTGCCGCCGTCGCTGCCGTCGCAGCACCCGTTCGTTGACTCTGGGGGTGCTGGCGTTGGAGTGCGTGCTAGTCCCGGTAGCCCTGGTGGTGGTACCGGTCCTCGAGGGGTTTCGGACCCTGGGGGTGTTCCCTCTTGGGGTGCTAGCGTGGAGTGTGCCGGTGGTAGCCAAGGAGAAGCTTTCGGTCCCAATGTCGCTGTTGTGCCGCCGCAGCAGCAGTCCCCGCCGGTGTCCGCCCTTCGCATGCTCGGCCTTCCGTCCCCTGACCCTGTGTCTGTTCCTCCTCGGCCGTCTTCTCCTCTT